CATCATCATTCTCAAAACATCTGCTTTCTACTTGAGCCCTTGGGATTAGCTCGTTCACCACCCCCCCCCCCCCATGAACCCTTGATAATTTAAGAAGTATTCTTCTTTTCTCATGTCTTGCACCGTCCGACCTCTCCCTTCACCCACTTCGCTGTCTGGCCCGCAGGGAGGAGGTTGGAGGTAGATCCTTGTAATCGGTGCCCCAGACCCTTTTTTATTCAATCATTCTCTCGGAACCGTCAGAGTCTCTTCTGAATCATCTCCACGTTCCTTGGGGGGCTGGGCTCATCTTCAGAATCCTTTTTGGGGGGCAACTTTTAAAGATTCTGTTTCAGATCATTCACTTCATTGTAATTTTGAGTTTCTGCTTTGAAGGTCCCCTTTTCAGAACCATTCTCTTCAGACTCTGTTCGAGGTCTGCTTTCCTCACACAGCCCTTCCTGGCAACCCTTCTCGATTGCTTCTGGACAGATGCCTTGCTCAGACTCTCTGTTGGGGCAGAGCTTCGTTCAAGTCTTTATTGGAGCTACTTTATTTAGCACCTTTCCCCAGAAGGTTCTTACTTCAAATTCTTCCATCTTGTTTTTTCAAAATCATTTTCATCTGTACCCCAAAACCTGCCACCGAGCTGACTCAGCCTCAGAGAGACCTTGTAAGACGGTCGGTGTAGCTCTGCCCCATGGGGTTCCAAGGCTGTCAGTCTTCACAGAGGCAGACGGTCACATCTTTTTCCCAGGGAGCAGTTGGTGGGTTTGAACCATCAACCTTTTGATTAGTAGCTCCAACATTAACCCAATACAACGCCAGGGCCCTTCAAATGCCATTTTGACTAGGGTATTTATTAAAGATATGCCACGGTGCTCTGAAAAATGCCTCACTCTTTAGAAGGCCCTGCTCTTTCAGAAGGACTGGTGAGATTTGAATGTCAAGTCTCTGATGGCCTCAGGATCCTTGAAGAAAGCCTCCCAGCCTTTCAGCTTTTCCACTCTCTCTCTTGTGGTTTCCTACCCCTCCCTCCCACCCCACCATTCCATGCTTCAAAAGCCACCTAACCACCTTCCATCAAGTGTCTGAATTCAATCATCGACTTCCGCATGGTCCCTGAAGGACACAGAAGCCTCACCATCTGGATGTCATCCAAGAGAAGGAGCTGCTTCATTTGGCCAAACTGCCAACACTCTACTGCAAGGTCTTCTCTGATTTCATTGAACATCAGATGGCCATCCTCAAAACCTGTAAGTGGAAACATAGTTCTGATGAAGCCAAATCGCTTGCAACACGTTCGGGATGGTGCGGCTTTCCTCTCAGTGCAACGGCTTAGGATGCATAGACAGCTTCTTCTTGTAGCCTTTGCACTCTCTGGGCATCTTATTCCTCCTGCAGGGGCCCCCGGTGGGGTAGTGAGTTACAAGGTGGGTTTACTGGGCTGTCAACTGCAAGGTCATCAGTTCGAAACCACTAGTCCCTCTGCAGGAGACAGATGAGGCTTTCTACTCCCATAAAATATTATAGGCTGGGGAATCCCCAGGGGGCAGTTCTCCCGTCTTACAGGGTCGTTACGAGTCAGAATAAACTCAATGGCAGGGAGTTTTGAGTGTCTGGATTCCCTCTTCAGTTGTAACTGCTATGTTGACATGTAATTTGTAGTCTCTAATTTCGCTTTAGAGGAACCCTGCTGGCAATTGGTTATGTGCTGGGCTGCAAACCACAAAGTTAATAGTTAGCAACCACCAGCTGCTCCACAGGGGCAGTTCTATTGTCATACAGGACAGGAGGTTTTGAGTGGGAATTAATTCAATGGCAGTGAGTGAAATGACATCTCCATCCAAAAGTTTTAGTGCAAGCTCTACAGAGTTTTCAAAACAGCAGCAAAGCCTATGTCCTTTAAGCCTTCCTTGATTATCTTTGCAACACAGAAATTCTTCTGTTTGAGGCTTTCTCACCCTGATGTCAAATCTGGGCATGAGGGCGGGGTCTATCAACTCACCGACTGTAGCGTCTGGAGGCAAATCAGACACGCACACACCTGTAGGGCTGTCTTCTTCAAGGTGAAACCGTCCAGATTCGGCCCTCCTGTTTTGTCCCTTCTTTCGGGCTACAGTGGGCTCGGGTTTCCCTCTGTTCCCCTGCTCTACACCAGCGTGGACATCTTGCTAAGTTGCCCGCAGCTAGATGCTCTACCACCAGGGAAGCCGTCATGGGCCTGATAACGAGCCATAGTCTTGGACCCATGCCTTCGGGTACAGATCCCACTTATGGGGAGGGTCGGCCAGCTGTTAGCCCCAAGAATGGGCTCCGACGCTGGGTCTTGCTGGGGCGGGGATGTGGGGAAGGGGGCACCGCCGTCCTGGGGGTCTCGGTACTCTTCTTGCCTCCGCAAACTCACAGTGCCTTCGCTCCCCTTTCGGACCCTGAGCCAAAAGGTCTGGAAGAGGGTGGGGCGGGGCGA